ATTATTTGATATATATATATATATATTTTTTATTATTTACTTTTGTTTATCTAAGGATCTTCTTGACTTTTATTTGTAAAGTTCATATTTTTTTTTTTTACTTTTATCACTATTCTTCCTTTATTACTGCTTATTATTATTTTATGTATTTGATTGTCCATTTTCGCTTTTTAATTTTTGTTATAGTTACTTAATTATTTATACATTTTTTTTGTATTTATATATTATATGAGTGACTACTAATCTTTAGCACGAATACCTATTACCATTGGGTGTAGCTGAATGTATTATTATTCAATAAATAAATATAGGTTAAATAAAAATAAGTCAGACATTGATTCATTCTACATAAAAATAAAAACAAATAATAAACACTAAACAACAATAGTTTGCGAACCAAACTAATTATTTATTAGTCATTAGACCAAATTCCAAATAATTTGCGAACTTAGTTTGGAATTTATTTCTAAATTTAAAAAACAAATCATACCAACAACAATTCCATGATTTGAGCTGTCAGAGGTTCTTCTGAACTCGAATAAAATTCTGAATGTTTTCCCTCTTCAATCTCAAACCAATATTTATTGAAGTTGATGGAGTAAATATTTCTAGTCCCTTCCTCAATCTCTTTTATTGGCGGAGAATAATATTTTCATTTTTCTACTAAGGATCCTATCTGTTTTTAGAGGACTTAAGTGCAACTTTTCTTGTATCATTTACGACTCATAATCCAGTCAATTATTGTTCTAATTACAAGTATGAAGGGAAATGAAAAGAACACTTTTTTCGCCTTGTGACTGTTAGGATTAGTTAGAAATAAACCGTACTAAAAGTCCAAACCAAGGGACCCACGTAAGTTTTGTACGCCAAAGACAGTACATCTTGCGTCTTGCGTTTCCGTCATTCATTGTAATAGACTTATTCTATGTTAGCTAATTTCTCTGCATGTAGACGCCATCTTAACCTGGCATCAAGATTCACACCGAGATAGGTAGCTGCTTCAGTCCTCTGATCCATATTTCAAAGTTATAGGAGACATATTTTCGGCCAACGAAAACAGTTGAAATTCTTGTATTTAGCTTTGGTGTATTCTATAATTTTATTGACCTCACACCACATTGTTTGTTCCTCCAGAACGTTGCCTTCCATAGCAGTTATATTGCTACTAGCTGCCCACTGAACTAAGTCATCATGAAAGGCACTCGACAATTACAACAAGTTTCTATCATATGATTCAACTTCACTAACAATCTACTGTTTACAGTAGACATACCAATATATTCCCTTAGGAAATGGATGAGGTTATTTCCGAGGTAGTTTTGTTAATTAACTTATTTCAAGACCTATAATATCTGACCAAAACACAACCCAATTTTATAATATTAAACGTACACCATGATGGAAACGTTCCACGCTATCGGAAACTCAATTAGAAAAAGGTTTACGGCCCTTAGGTCAATCGGACACGAAGCCCCAAGTCCAGCCCTGCGAGAGAGGGGAGAGATAAGAAGAGATAAGCTTTATAGGCTCTATTGATTAGTCGGCCAGTGAAGACGCCTGACGTAGTGACGTAGTGGTGGGGAAGACTGCAGTCAGTTGGGGTGCAACACTTATTGCACTATTGCAGGAGGAGGACCTAACCTATTAAAATAGGGACGTCTTGGGTCAGGTGACATGCATAACGATAAATTAGATTATTAAATTTCCTCTATTTGAAATATCACAATGAAGAGTTCTACAAAACATATATTTTTTCAAATCTAAATTAATTCTACCATCTTTCATTCAATTACTCTAATGATTTTGTTTTAGCCTTCCATCATGCTTAAAATTTGGACCTAAGAGTTCTCAGTGGTAAGATTTGTTCATTGACTGTAGAAAAACATGTAGGCTTATTATGAAGTAAAAATTATATTTAAATAATTATTACAAAACACAATTGACTACTTACAAGTTTTTATGTTGAGGTTTATCCTATTTTTTTAAAACTAAAAATCAAATGGGCTGGTTAAATATAAACATCAGATTTTCAGTACCTAATTTCCTGACGGTTTGGAGTAAGAAGAGGGATTATAAAACTGATTTTTAATTTTTTTGCCAGTACCTAAAAATAAAAGAGATTTATCACAAATAATATTTTACGAAAATATAGTAGTTACAAATATGAATAAAACTGAATCTTTAATTTTTTCTGGAACATTAATAGTAATGGAAAATTGAAGATAGAGAAAAATGAATAGATTTAATCCTGTCGTAGATTTTGTCAGCTTTAATTGTACATTCTTGTCGCTTGGGTGCATAATTTCACTGAAAAAAGAGACAAAAGTGACCTTGGTATCCTCTCCCTCCTATCCTATAAGTGGAGGGGACATTTAGTGTTTACTTCCTAACTAATCCTAACAGCCACTAAGTCAAAAAATGTGTTCCTTTCATTTCCCTCTATACTTTCCTTTTTAACTGCCGTCATATTCTGAAAGGCTTAAATATTAGAAGAGAAACAACTGCTTCAAGAAAGGGAGGTATTCTTTCAATAAATAACCAAGTTGGTGTGGTATCCATGGCAATGAAATAGCTGATAAACTCGCCAAGGAAGAAATTGAACCAGCCAAAAAATTGGATATCATTCTATAGAGCCAGAAAATAAATAAATGAGGGTCTACTACTAGAATCCGTAATGAGCAGTATTGTGGAGTTGCATTGGAAAAAATTGCTTAATAAACCAGAAAGAGCACCTACAAACCTACCGAGAAAGGAAGCTGTTGCAGAGTTTTGGCTGCTAGCAGGCCACTAATACGTTAGGAAACATCGGCATAGAATAAGAGTGCAGCTCACAAAATCGCTCTAAAAATCGTTACGTACCTTTTAATGAACAGATTTCATATATTTTTGGTAATAGTTTGTCAGTATTTTGAGATCGATTTGGGGTGGAAAATAGAGTAAATATGTAGAATTGGACATATAAGCGAAACAATTATATTAAAATCTTACATCTAACTCTTTTAGTGAGGTATGTTGTTCTTTATGTAATATTTTCAAGCATTTTTACATTGTTTTTTTTTTTTTTCTTAATGGTGTTTACAACTGTATAAAAGAAATACATTTAGTAAATTTGAACATATGGATATAATCACATGAAAACACTTGTTGAGAAACTACCCAATGGTAGCATTCTAATGCTATGTCTACATTAGGAGATCACGAGGCCATCTTCTTTTCAGACGCCTCGGAGAGTTATCAGGAATTGAAGAGGAAGCAAGGCTAGAAAAGGGAGGGTTGGGATGATTCTGAAGTTTATTATGGAAGGATAGGTATCTGGATTGGGCCAGATCTAAAACATAAGAAACAATAAGGTTATTATGGATGGTTTTATTTGTAACAAAGTAGGAAGCATTAAGCATTTTACGAAGGATTTTGGATAGTAAGGATTGGATACGAGAGGAATTTGATGGTTTAGTGGAGCACCATAGCTCAACTCCGTGAGTCCAAATAGGCCTTATTATAGTCATGTATATTAGTCTTTTGTAATTAATATAAAGTTTAGAGCGTTTATCTAGTAAGTGTTGGAGTAAGCGGAAACGTCGAGCAGTTTCTTGTCGTTTCAGTCTGGTAATTTTTATATTTAAAGCCTGCAAACAATCAGGTTCTAATTGTTTGATGTTTAAGGTCAAGTGAGGAAGCAATCGAAATATTGAACAGTTAGATAAAAGTTTTTTAAAAAATTGTCTCTTTAAATTAATTTTATCCGCATTCAAATTTCTACATTTTGTTAATAACATGTATTGAGGGACTAATATGAGATGATTTTTTATTATCAATTATTATTAAATATTGATTACTAACAAAGAAATCTTTGAATACAATTTTTTTTTAAACTTATTTATCTAGAAATATTACAATTTCTCACGATTAAGGACATTTATAATGTTATTCAGAGCGAACATTCACATTCTATTTACAATCAATAATGCAGAAAAATATTAATACTAAAAGTAAATGTATATAAACTAAAAGAACGAAATATAATTGGTAATTGGTTGACTGTCGTGAATAATGAAGAGAAGAATAGTTGGGGTGCTCAGTCAAAAAAGGAAGGCAAAAATAAATTATAATATTTATTTTTTACATCTGCCGACGTTTCGACCTGAAGTTCAGGCCATTATCAGGGCTAAGAAAAGTCATTATTCTTAATCATTATTCTTAGTCATTATTCTAACAATTTTATTTTACTTTATATCTATCTATTTTATTTTTCTTTTATCTAGATCTATTTTATCTAGATCTAATCTATTTTATTTTCTCATTTTTTTTTGTTATTATCTTGTTTACCATCATTACTTAAGTTTCTCATACCTTGTTATCTGGTTATTTTCTTAGCCCTGATGATGGCCTGAACTTCAGGTCGAAACGTCGGCAGATGTAAAAAATAAATATTATAATTTATTTTTGCCTTCCTTTTTTGACTGAGCACCCCAACTATTCTTCTCTTCATAAAAGAACGAAACTAATCAAAATAATATCTTAATCGCGAGCATACAAAATAAAAAATAAATATATTCTATTCACAATTATTGTTATAGAAAATTATCTATTATTGACTAATCTTACCCCTGAAATATTTCAAGGAATTTCACAATAATGAATTCATAGTTTTAATAGTACTTTAAAAATGGAATGAAAAGAGTTCTTGAAGAATGATATAAGACCAAAACGTTGTCCAATGTGGAGCGTCCATAAAAATTATAACATTTGAAAATATAAAATGACTTCTTAAAAATGTATTTTTTTTTTAGACAATTGTTACTTCTACGAAATTATCAGCTTCCAAAAAAATAAAGAACTTTTTTTTCTGGCGTATAAGGAGGGACCGAGGGATAAGAGGGGATTACTTTTGGTTATCTATAGTTCTTGCTTTTCAACATAAAGCAAGGACTCCGCGGAACCCTATCATTTATGGATTGGACTAGATCCTGACATAAGGACATGAAAAATGTCTAAGATGGCTAACAAACGATATCCTCGGTGGTGCCTGCTAAAAGCCTGATTTGCATAATCCTCATGGAGGGAGTGACATCCAGCGAGGACATGTACCTCGTATTCACCCGCGGGCCCTTCAGCCCTTCCCCGGGTTTATGCCTTCCAACAAAAGGGCCAGATAATCGTTTATTTAAATATGAAACAGTCGATATTTCCGTCCTTCCGGGCGTTCCATTTACCAGTGGCGTGTCTGTTGGAAATCTAATCGAACATATTTTCTCTTATATGTTACATTTTGATGAAAACATCAATATAGAACTATCGGTATATTTTATACAAGTGATCGGCGAATTCTGGCTCGTGAGCATCATTTAAACTATTTAGTCTCTTGAATGTCACTATTCCAGAGAGCGCTGCAATTCCCACCTATTTCATCGGTTATAAGAAGAAATTACGGTTTTCTGTAAATATGAAAAACAAAAATGAATAAAACGAACGAACGAAATGAATCATAGAATAGTATCCTATTCGTTTTCATTTTGGGCCCTTTCTAAATTCAATTATATCGAACATTTAAAATAAATAATCGAAATCATTACTATAATCTTCCTGTTTTTTTATAGTTATATATCTTACGGAATTTATTGAGGAACTGTTTTATCCCATCGCTCCCAGACAGTTGTTATTCCTGACAAATCTCCTTTCTCGTCCCTTCAATTAACACGAGGTGTTCCTCAGGGCTCCTCCCTCTTTCCAACTCTGTTCTCCATTTATATTAGCGACCTGCCTGATTTCTTTCCGACAGTCAAAAACCTCGGAGTGATCTTTGATCAGAACCAGATTACCCATAAGTCCATATATGTGCTTAAACAATTCCTTAAATTCCGTGATTCGGTTCCAAAAAAAACCAGACAATTCCTTGTAACATCCCTTGTTTTCCTCTACTTCGACTACGGTTGCTTAGTGAATGGAGGGCTGTCCACAGAACTGGAGGCGAGACTGCAGAAACTTATAAATTGCTTCATAAGATTCATGTTTGGGATTCCCAAGCGTTCTCATGTTTCTTTTTGGTGCACCGAGTTCAAGTGGCTTTATTTTACTTCCCGACTGCACTTCCTTCTTGATGTTTTTATTTTCAAAGTCTTCGGAACAAAAAACGCTCCCACATCTTAAAACTCCTTACTTTACGCTCATATTTCCACTCTTTCAACACCAAACCTCAACCTATAGATTTATATATTCCCTCCCATAAAATCACTTCCTTCAGTAAATTCTTCCTCATTCGTGCTTACATCATTCTGGAACTCCTTACCCATCTCCATACGTCAAACCACGTCCATAAACTCCTTCAAATATATCTTATCCCGCCGCCTACACTAAATTAAAACTTCCTCAAGCTTGTAAAAATTTCTGGATAGTATAATTACGTTATTCACCAGCAGTTAATTGATAGGAGACATTTTATTTCTATTTATTAACTTTTTTCTATCTCAGTATTTCTTGTATATATTTGTGTTTTTCTTAGTATTTTTTGTAGATTTTTATATTTTCCTTTGTATTATTTGTGTGCATTTGTATTTTCCCGAGTATCTTTACATATATTCAATATATATATACTTACAATTTTCTTAGTAAATTTTGTATACATTTGTGTGATATCTACATGCCAGATTAATGTACATATGTTTTTAACTCTACTATTATTCTTAAAGGACTTGTATTGTGAGAGTAATAAGAAAGAGATGCTTCTGTTAATATAAATTGTCTTTTATGGCCGTTACGAGAAATAAAATGGACACTTTTACCTGATGACTGTGTTGGAAGAGAGGGTTACTACCGTGGATTACACTAACCCAGAGATTGACTTGGCTGCCGTCCAAGCCTGGACCCACCGGGCTCACCAATCCTAGACTGCTAGTTGTATATTCAGGTTGAGGCAATTGGAACGCGGTGCTGACAGCAGCTACTCTATTATTACTTCGATTATTCTATACTTGGATTCCTTTCTAAAATATGTTATACTACTTCCACAATTTTATCAAAATATTTAAATTAATTTTTAATGGTCAGATCATTTGATATCGTGAGAAAAAAAACCATCAGAGACTATTACTATGATTTAAGATGCTAACAAGGTTATGACTCATTTTCCTAACGTTAAATATTAGAGACAAATTCTAATATAAATGCGTTGTTTAACAGATTTCTATATATCAAACTTTTTATTTAAATTTCATTACCAGAAGAATATTTTGAGCGATCAGAAAACACCATAGAAGATAGTCACAGAATTAATATTGTGCATATCTGAAATCCTGTTGTACCAGTGGCTGACACTATTTGATCTGGAATGTTCCTATAGCTGACAGGGATGAGAACATGGATATAATAAAAAAAAAAGTTATATTCTTCATTTTAAGATTTACAAAAATTATCTTTAACTTATTATAAAACTAGCTTCTTGCGTTTCCCGACTTAAATTTATCAAGAAATGGTGGTCTCTGCTAAGAACCTGTTTTTGGCAATAAGAAAACCTATTTTTGCTTTATATTAAATCCCAATCATTATTATTTTTTTTAACGAGAATAGTAAATAGTCCCATTTTTAAGACCCGTTATATTGAGTACATCTCTTGAATTTATGAGAGTACAGGCCTTTCAACTACTGGAAAAAGTCCCTATTATAATGCTGCAGTAGCTGATATCCAATAAATATCCAATCCCTTCATCAACATTAGTTAGAAACAGACAAAACATGATTTTAAAACACTCCAAAAACAATCAAATAATAATTTTGAGGTAACATACAGCAGTTAAAGAGAAAAAGGCAAATCTAAGGTATAGTAAGTTCTCTTACTGACAGATGGTTGTTCCTAGGAAACTAAGTGGACCTTCCTAATTTGCCACTTATTATTTCAGTTGCAATTTCTGATAAGACTAAAGCAAAGAAGACAAAGGTACAAGGAGAAAATACATAAACTAAAAATATATGAAATAAAGATCTAGGAGGTTCTGAAATTTTATTGTTCCCATTTTTCAAGATGGATTTCAGGTACTGGTACACGGTTAGGCTATTGGTTCTTTTACCCTATATAGACTTTTTATTACTGGATAATCGACTACGGCGCTTTGGTATACCGTACCGCACAACCAAGTATCAATGACAACATAAGTTGGGTTGGTTTTTATCATTATAGTTTATTCAATTTATTTTTTTTTTTATGTTAGGGAATATTTGGGGAGTGTAGGGAACATGTGTAATCTGATAAAATGTAGTTTATATTTTTATCGATTGTAACCTAATTTCTGGTAGCTTCCGATGTGTAATTATAAGAATACCATTAATTGTTTGAAGTATATAAGAATAAATAAAAATGTGAAACATAGATAGTTTAATCTGATTTGAATAATATCCTTTTGATACCGACTGGTGCATTCACTATGACAGTACTCGACAAGCATCAAAGGAACTTTTAATGTCATAATTTGAATTAAATTCAAATTTCTGTTCGTCTGAAGTTTAAACTAAATTCAAAATTAAGAAAGTTAGACTAAATGTGATTTCTGTATCCATCCCTATGGTCTACATTGAAGTTAAATAGTTTTAAATGCTCATTTATCCTCTAACCTAATACTATAATTAGTTAGATCCACGTTAAGGAGTGTTTGGGAAGATACTTAAATTAGTATGAAACCATTTCCTCTCTCCTCATTCAATCAGCTGTTTCTTATAATGTTGTCAGTAAAATGAAAATAATTTCATAATAATTATAAAACTACTGAAAATAGTTTTCTGGATTCATCTAAACTAAGGTATGTGAATTTTTAAGTATTGTAAAAATCAGAGAATGACAACTTTTTAAATTAATCATTCCGAAATGGAATATATTTTTAAAAAAGTTTTAAACCATTGGTAAAAATAATAAGTATTATTCAAATGACAGCAGATGAAAATTAATATTTATTTCTTTACAAAATCGAATTGCAGGTTCAAGAAATCGTTCAAAATTATGAACCGATCAAACAAGACAAATTAAAAAAAATACTATAACTCAATATTCCAGTATTGAATCTCAATTGCTCAGGAATTAAGCCTTTTAATAGCCGGATATCTTTAAATGTTAATATTTTTTTTTTATTATTATGTATATGATATTTACAACTGTATAAAAATAAATACATCTAGTAAATTCGTACATGGCATCAAACACATGTTGAGAAGCTACCCATTGGTAGCACTCTAATAATATATGTATATTAGGAGATCACGGGGCCATCTTCTTTTCAGATGCCTCGGAGGGTTATCAGGAATTGAATAGGAAGCAAGACTAGAAACCAGAGGATTCGGATGGTTATGAAGTTTATCATGCAAGGAGAGATATCTGGATTTGGCTAAATCTGATACATAAGGAACGTTAAGGCCATTGTGGATCATTTTATTTGTAACAAAGTAAGGAGCATTCAGGATTTTACGAAGGATTTTGGATTGTAACGATTGGATGCGAGAGGAATTTAAAGGTTTGGTGGATCCCATAGCTCAACTCCGTAAGTCCAAATAGGCCTTATTATAGTCATGTATATGAGTCTTTTGTAATTAATTGGAAGGGTCGTTTGTCTAGTAAGTGTTAAAGTAGTCAGAAACGTCGAGCGGTTTCTTGTAGTTTCAGTCTGGTATGAGGATTCCAAGTTAGACGCTTGTCCAGGTGGAGTCCTAGGTAACGGATTTGTTCAACAGGAATAAGTGAGATGTTGTTAAAGGATGCTGAAGGACAGGAAGTCATTGGTTTACGAAAATGTTAATAAATAAAATTTACACACTAAACTGTTGATAGTTGTTTGTTTATTTATTATTTTATTTTATTTTTTAAGCAAGGATTTTTATGGACATGCATTTTATACTGATTGCCGCGAACTGAGCAAATAGTGTGAATTGATTAAAAAGTTGGAAGAAATTATAATTTACTTTGTGGTAATATCGATCATTTTTGATGAGATAGAATAAATATTGCCAAAAAAACAAAAAAAAAAAAAACACAAGATTTCTAAAGTATAAAAAAACAAAAAACAAGACGGCATAGGAATAGGTTAGGATGGGAAACTGAAGCAGAGAGAAATGAGTACGTGCCGAGATAGGACGAGCCCTAATTTCCCTTAGGGGCTAATGGGAATATAGATATTAGCGGTGGGGCACCTGGTAATTACCTCGTCCCTTTGTTACCATCCCTCTGGAGGCTGGGCCGGCCCTTCGTCTCATCACTGCTTGTCTCCATCCGAATATTAATAATTCCACCCGCCAGCTGTTAGCTATTACACCCAGGAAAAAACTGATATTACTCCTTTTGGTATTAAAATGCCATTGGCCAAAATATGTTATTTAAAATTATTTTTATACCATGTTGATAGCAGAAGTAATCGATCCTTTAAGAATAGAATCCACCATGAAACAACTATCCCTTAAGATGGATTGAACACAATTAATATATCAAGGCTAATTTTGAACAAGGTACCTATTAAAGTAACCTTCGATAGGTATATGAGGTTTGATCAGTAGGAAAAAAGTGCAAAAAAAAAAAAATAATAATAAAATAAAAATAATACATAAAGACAATGCATTGCAGTGTCATAACACAAACTGTTCTTTGAACATATCTCATGTCTCAGTTAAAAACGATCTATTTGGAAATCAGAACTCAGTGTATAATTTCCAAAATTTGGGCGCTCATCTAAACGAAAGCGGTTACATCGATGAGGAAGTGACTCTTAGAATCGGAACAGCTGGAAGACAAAAATATCCTTCTATAAATCGGAATTCCTCTCTATCCTTTTGTACTCTTCCGAATCGCGAACCCGCATCTCGTTTCACAAAAACCGATTCCAATCCATGGAAATTCGCTACCTTCGTAAAGTGGTAGAAAAGGTCCAAAGAAATAGAATGACTAGGCTCGAAGTTAAATCGGTCGAGACCATCCAGGAAAATACAGGCTAAGATGGTTTGCACATATCCTTAGAATGGGTCCAGAAAGAATCTTGAGGAATACGTACGAGATCCGTGTGGAGGGAAGGAGACATGAAAGAAGGACCGCATCTTCTGGGAGGACGTTGGATTGGAGCAGAAGAGAGTTAGTTAGAGAGCGAGATACCTTATCCAGACTCTACATCTACCCTACACTAGCGGTACTAAAAGAGGTTTAACAATTATGATGATGATTGGATATCAGCTATTGCCTCTGTTGAAAAGTAATTAATAGTACTAATATCTATAGGATCTATAGAAAAAAATGTTAAAAGAATTAAAGTGAAACTATATGCCCAAATAGCTTTCAGGATAGAGACACTATATGCATTCAAATAATAGACAAAGGAAAGAAAATATTGTATATCTTGGAGGTGAAGAAATGGTTGTGAGTGGATTCTTAAGTAAAAGAAGTTGGTTGGTAGTTGCAGTCAGTGGAGTATACAAAGATTTATTTTCATGGTGCCAACGTTTCGACCACGGACTATGTAGTCAGTGTAATATCATAGTTTGAAATACACAATATTTTTGACAAAATTTGATCATACCCTGTAATTTCTTACTCATTAATTTTCTTTGATTCTTTGTATATTGATTTACAAAATTATTTGGCCCTACTGTAAATGACGCCACAGAGTCTAGGAATTTATCTTTTCCTAATATAATTATGTCTTGATTAATTTGAAGCTATACGTTGTTTATTCAAATCTAGCCTTGTATCCTCTTTTAATACGCCCAATGCAGTTTTAGATACTCACCTGATTTTGCTTAGCGACAGAGCTTGAGCGAACTAAGTTCGGCTTCGATCCCGCCTCTCTCAACTAATTATATGCAAAACAGGTCTCGATTATTACATTATGCTTTCTAATGGGTTTCATGTTAGCGGCTGAATTCAAATCACGCGCATGAACGTGCCTCTCAAAATCCACCATCAGCCGCGTCCTCTGTATCCTCTATCCTCAATTTGGAAATCACTGAACCATTTTGACTATTATTATTTTCGAACAAATAAATAACTTTATAACTGACTTTAAATGATATTGCTATTTACTACGTATTAAATTCTTATAAATATAAAACTGATACTTATTTACTTTTGAGATCGATCAATACAAACTTTTTCATTAAAATTGATTTATTAAATTTCCATCCACAAATTCATATGGCAACGTTTCAGACGCTTTTGCTCATTATCAAGTCCAAAATGCGTATTTGTGAATTTATAACAACTCTATATAACAACTACTATCACAAAATATTTATTAATGTAATATAATTTTTTTTTAAACTTATTTTTCCACTCACACCTATCAGAAGTACGGACCACAAGCGAGTGTAATGCCGAGAAGTGGGATCAATTTTTTTTAAAATATATTCATTGCGGTATTTCAGGAAATAGGGAAGCAGATAGTCTCGCTAGGAGAGGAGCAGAATTGCCTCAAACAGTGCATCCAAAATCTTACGATTCCATTCGACGGATGGTGAGGATGGCAGTGATGGAGGAAATAAAATAGATACACAAAGACAAGGTGGAAGGGAGACATTATGGACGTTTGGTGGAAAACCCGATACCAGCAGACTTACCAAGAAGAGATGCAGTAGCCTGCTTTCGCCTGGCCACTGGTCACGACTATCTACAAAGTCATCTCCAGAAGACAGGCGTGGCTGAGAATCCTAGCTGTAAATTATGTGAACAAGCGGAAATGGATGCAGACCACTTAGACACATGTCCTGGTTTGACGGACATAAGAAATAAAACATTTGTGAATGAATATATATAAAATCAAACTTATACTGGGCAGCAAGATGTCGAATGGTCGACTGACCAATGACTACGGCATAGAGGAAAAAATGTAATAAAAAAAAATAAGAAAGAAATTAACAAAATATGTATTATATATAAATTATCATTATTCATCTCATAATTATGTAGCAATCATTGGCCATTGTTTCATAGTTATTTTGTCTAACATGAAAAAAAAACTTTTTTTAGTTGAATAATAATACAATCTGCCCTAATATTTGAATAACAAATAACATGTTTTATTAATTATATGTTTTAAACCCAAGCATATTCTATTACAAATTATTATGTAGAATTTTGGTCCTCAATTTAATTTAAAATCTAATAAAATATTCTTCATTTTCTTCAATATATTATGGTTCTTTACTATTTAATATGTTTATCCTTTTCATTTCGTTTCTTGACTGTAATTGTTCATTTTAATTTATAATTTAGTTTTGACGGATTATTATATATTTTTTTAAAAAGTTGTGAATTTAAAAGAATATTATTTTAAAATTATTTTCGGTAACTATTTTTCCATCTACTTACATCATGCCAATGTACACATGTTAGCTTAATTGTTAGTATAATGTCTATCGGGGTTTGATAATACTATATTAAAAAAATTCTTTAAGTTTCCACAATAATAATTATTACACTAAATAATTGTTTTATAAATAGCTAATTTATTAATTATATCAATATAATGTTGCCTTATTTATTTTGTATATGTTTAAAAACAATACATTTTCAATATTTTAAATCATATGCGCTACATTCATGTGGCTTATTTCTTGACTAGTCACCATTTTTTTAGAGAGTTCAACGCATTTTGATAAAGTATAATATTCCAAATTGAAAAGTAAATAAAATGTTCTTCTCTTAAGTTTATTGATTCAAAGTCAAACGTTTCCTGGAATGGGGATAGAACTCCGTTAACTTGTTGGACGTTGGGGGAAGTTTATTGAATCTAAAGGAAGTTATTGTTAATTAAATAACGATATTACTTTAAAGTTTGTTTTTCTTTTATTTGCTTCTTGCTGTAGAAACTGACATTTCGTATTTCCTAAACTAATATTATAACAACCTGATTTAATTAGCATTACACAAAACATTTATGAAGTAGCTAAGTCATTTTTATGTCTATAGAAACTTTAGAAGTCTTTTCGAAATTGTGTAATTTTGTATACACTAGTCGTGTATACAATATATATATTTCATGTTTCATTTGTTGACGTTTCGGTCAAGTCTTTCATAGACAGTTTTCTCTTTCAAATTTGTTAAACATCTACTTAATGTATTGTTAATATAAATGCCTAACTTTATGTAATGATGATGATTTGATTTCTTTACGAGCACGATATGTATTAATGTTTTTAACAGAAACATTAACTGTGTTAATAAAACAAAATTTTTAATTTTTTTAACAAAGTGGACTATTGTGTGCTAGTTTTTTCCATAACCGGATTTAAATGAGGTTACTCCGTTGAGAAAAGAAACTTCTCTTACTGACGTAAATAGATAAAGGCAAGCGGGTTTTAAAAGGAATTTACTTTTTTTTTTTTACTTTCAATTTAATATTCTTAAAAAATAGAATAACTCGTCCTTAAATTTAATGCATAACCAAAATTTTAATAATTTTTCTTCTGGATCACGTAAATGGAATTGATAAAAACGTCTTCCATTTTCTGTGTTATTCTCTCGATCTGAAAATCCAAATGTTCATTTGTTTGTTTTTACCGAATTCGTTTCTACAATTCACTCAACAACTAAAACCATTTATTGAATCGTTCAAGCAAGTGTGTAATGAGACAGTGAATAATTCAGAACTATTATGGTGTTAAAATCCTTCTAGTATTGCAAAAATACCATCTAAAATAATAGGAAAATTAACAATGCTATCACTATCCCGCGTTTGGAAAATATTTAGTTGTTTTGACGAAGTGTGGCAAACAGATTGAAAACAGTCTGCTTAGGGGATTACTATTTTGTAACTTGTATCCGGCAGTTTTTCTTATTCTGTATTGTTATTCTATACGTTATTAGCGTTAGTCAGTATCATTATCGCATGGCAAGGTTTAAGGTGAAAGTGGGGTGGTTCGTGAAGGGTTGAGCCGAGATTGGGCGATAGACCGTGCTTTATTCTTTTATCTCGCTTGCCAGAGATTTTTTTCTTTTTTGCAACAAAAAAAAAATGTTCTGCTCTATAGTTAACACATGCTGGGATTTATTTTATTTTTTTTCTAGGTAAGGAAAGTATTGCAGTCGGATCAAATTTCCGATGTACGTTTTTCAGCGCATCCTTACTAGAGCCTCATGGGCCTGAAAAACACATCAGCCAATGTTCTGTCTTTCTGTACCATGATGCTTTTGAGAACGATTGAACCGATATTGTTGTTTCATTTTTTTTTTTTTTTTTTTTTGATTTGTTTTGAAGGGATTTTACTACCAAGGC